AAGTATCCCTATTTGCATCTGACATGATCTTATACACAGAAAATCCCAAAGAATCCACGAGAAAACTTCTGGAACTAATAGAAGATTTCAGCAAAGTACCAGGATACAAGATAAACATACAAAAATCAGTTTGATTCTTCTACACCAACAAAGAGAACTTTGAAAAGGAAATTCCCAACTTAATATCATTTACAATAGTCCCCAAGAAGATAAAATACTTAGGAATAAATCTAATCAAAGATGTAAAAGATCTATACAAAGAAAACTACAAGACACTACTAGAAGAAACCAAAAGAGACCTACATAAGTGAAAAAACATAGCATGGTCATGGATAAGAAGACCGAACACTGTGAAAATGTCAATTCTACCCAAAGCAATCTATAGATACAACGCAATCCCGATCCAAATTCCAATGACATTTTTTTAAGGAGATGGAGAAACAAATCACCAATTTCATCTGGAAAGGGAAGAGGCCCCAGATAAGTAAAGCATTACTGAAGAAGAAGAACAAAGTGGGAGGCCTCACACTGCATGATTTTAGAACCTATCATACCGCCACCGTAGTCAAAACAGCCTGGTACTGGTACAACAACAGATACATAGACCAACGGAACAGAATTGAGAATCCAGACCTAAATTCATCCACCTATGAGCAGCTGACATTTGACAAAGGCCCAAAGTCCATTAAATGGGGAAAAGACAGTCTCTTTCATAAATGGTGCTGGCATAACTGGATATCCATCTGCAAAAAAATGAAACAAGACTCATACCTCACACCATGCACAAAAACTAACTCAAAATGGATCAAAGACATAAATAGAAAATCTAAAACGGTAAAGATCATGGAAGAAAAAATAGGGACAACACTATGAGCCCTAATACACGGCATAAATAGTACACAAACCATAACTAACAATGCACAAACACCAGAAGAGAAACTAGATAACTGAGAGCTCCTAAAAATCAAACACTTATGCTCATCAAAAGACTTCACCAAAAGAGTAAAAAGACAACCCAACAGATGGGGAAAAAAAAATTGGCTATGATATATCCGATAAGGGTCTAAAATCTCTAAAATCTACTAGATACTGCAACACATCGACAACAAAAAGACAAATAACCCAATTAAAAAATGGGCAAACGATATGAACAGACACTTCACCAAAGAAGCTAATAGATACATGAGGAAATGCTCATGATCATTAGCCATTAGAGAAATGCAAATTGAAACTACAATGAGATAACATCTCACCCCAACAAGGCTGGCACTAATCCAAAAAACAGAAAATAATAAATGTTGGAGAGGTTATGGAGAGACTGGAACACTGACGCACTGCTGTTGAGAATGTAAAATGGTACAACCACTTTGGAAATAGATTTGGCACTTCCTTAAAAAGGTAGAAATAGAAGTACCATATGATCCAGCAATCCCACTCCTTGGAATATACCCTAGAGAAATAAGAGCCGTCATACCAATAGATGCATGCACACCCATGTTCATTGCAGCATGGTTCACAATAGCAAAAAGATGGAAAGAACCTAGGTGCCCATCAACAGACAAATGGATAAACACACCGTGGAATACTATGCAATGATAAAGAACAATGATGAATCCGTGAAACATCTCACAACATGGATGAATCTGGAGGGCATTATGCTGAGTGAAATTAGTCAATCACAAAAGGACAAATATTGTATGAGACCACTATTTTAAGAACTCAAGAATAGGTTTAAACACAGAAGAAAACATTCTTTGATGGTTACGAGGCTGTGGAGAGAGAGAGAGGGGAATTCACTAACTAGATAGTAACAAGAATCATCCTAGGTGAAGGGAGGACAATACACGATACAGAGGAAGTCAGCACAACTGGACTAAACCAAAAGCCAAGAAGTTTCCTGGACAGAACCAAACACTTTGAAGGACAGAGTTAGCTGGGGCTGGCATCTGGGGACCATGGTTTCGGGAGACATCTAGGTCAACTGGCATGACAAAGTTTATTAAGAAGAGATTCTGCATCCCACTTTGGTGAGTGGCGTCTGGGGTCTTAAAAGCTTGCGATCGGCTATCTAAGACGCATCAATTGTTCCCAACCCACTCGGAGCAAAGGAGAATGAAGAACACCAGAGAAGGGGAAAAATTAGCCCAAGAAACAAAAGGGCCACATAAAACAGAGACTCCATCAGCCTGAGACAAGAAGAACTAGGTGGTGCCTGGCTACCACCAACGACCACCCTGACAGGGAACACAACAGAGAGTCCCTGATGGAGCAAGAGAAAAGTGTGGAGCAGAACTCAAATTCACGTAAAAAGACTAGACTTACTGATCTGACTGAGACTGGAGGACCCTCTGAAACCATGGGCCCTGGATGCTCTGCTAATCCAGAACTAAAACCATTCCTGAAGCCCACTCTTCAGACAAAGATTAGACTGGAATACAAAACATAAAATAATACTTGTGAAGAGTGTACTTCTTAGTTCAAGCAGATACAGGAGACCAAATGGGCGCCTACTGTTCAGAGGCAGGAATGAGAAGGCAGGAAGGGACAGGAGGTGGTTGAATGGACACGGGAAATCCAGGGTGGAAAGGGGAAGTGTGCTGTCATAGGGATTGCAACTAGTGTCACATAACAATATGTGTTAAATTTTCGTATGAGAAATGAACTTGAGCTGTAAACTTTCATTTAATGCACAATAAAAAATTTGTTAAACAGGAATTCCAGAACACTTAATTGTGCTCATGAGGATTCTATACACAGATCAAGAGGCATTTGTTCGAACAGAACAAGGGGATACTGCGTCGTTTAAAGTCAGGAAAGGTGTGTGTCAGGGTTGTATCCTTTCACCATACTTATTCAATCTGTATGGTGAGCAAATAATCCGAGAAGCTGGACTATATGAAGAAGAACGGGGCATCAGGATTGGAGGAAGGCTCATTAACAACCTGTGATATGCAGGTGACACAACCTTGCTTGCTGAAAGTGAAGAGGACTTGAAGCACTTACTGATGAAGATCAAAGACCACAGCCTTTAGTATGGATTGCACTTCAACATAAAGAAAACAAAAATCCTCACAACTGAACCAATAAGCAACATCATGATAAACAGAGAAAAGATTGAGGTTGTCAAGGATTTCATTTTACTTGGATCCACAATCAACACCCATGGAAGCAGCAGTCAAGAAATCAAAATATGCATTGCACTGAGCAAATCTGCTGCAAAAGACCTCTTTAAAGCATTGAAAAGCACAGATGTTACCTTGAAGACTAAGGTGCGCCTGACCCAAGCCATGGTATTTTCAGTCACCTCATATGCAAGCCAAAACTGGGCGATAAATAAGGAAGATAGAAGAAGAATTGACGCCTTTGGACTGTGGTGTTGACGAGGAATAATGAATATACCTTGGACTGTCAAAAGAACGAACAAATCTGTTTTGGAAGAAGTACAACCAGAATGCTCCTTAGAAGCAAGGATGGCGAGACTTGTCTCACATACTTCGGACATGTTATCAGGAGGGATCAGTCGGTGGAGAAGGACTTCACGTTTGGTAAAGTAGAGGGTCAGCGCAAAACAGGAAGACACTCAACGAGATGGATTGACACAGTGGCTGCAACAACGGGCTCAAGCATAACAAGGATTGTGAGGATGGTGCAGGATTGGGCAGTGTTTCTTTCTGTTGTACATAGGGTCGCTATGAGTTGGAACCGACTTGACGGCACCTAACAACAATTGTTAAATTGTAGGGTCTTGTACTCTGTTGAGGAGCCCTGGTGGCGCAGTGGTTAAGAGACTGCTGTCTAAAAGGTCAGTAGTTCGAATCCACCAGCACCTCTTGGAAACCCTATGGGGTAGCTCTCCTCTGTACTATAGGGTCTCTATGAGTCAGAATCCACTCAGTGGCAAGGAGTTTGGTTTTGATACTCTGCTGAAGGAATTTCAGGCATCTGTGGTATGGAAAATATTTTTTGAGCAGAGGAGGGCAGGTGAAAGGAAGAGGAAGGATCATCTGAAATCACTACCCAGTTTACCCTTTAATGTGAGGGCATGTGTTAGTCGTATAAATATTAATATTTGTATAAATGTTCTCATGTATGCGTGTATTCTATCGCCATTATGGATTGCAAACAACCTCAGAAAACTGCCAAGTGTGAAGTTCTGCAGCGTATAGAAGGTATGAAAGAAATGCCCTCAATTTGCTAAGACATGAAATATTTGAGTACACTTGGAGTTAGTTAGGTTTTATGTGGCAACAATTAGAAGATGAATATATGCCTACATTTTTCTAAAAAGTGAGAATGAGAAAGTATCTTTGTTTACCCAATTCGAGTTGCTCACTGCTTTCCTGGCACCATGGACAGTGTTCACTGAGGGCTCATTTGCTTGTGGAATGAATTGAACCTATCATTAGCACAAATGGAGGGGCTGCTTCTGGGTTCTTAGTACTATTGTTGGAACGTCAACCTCTGGAGACCATCCTTCTATTTTCGCGGAAAACGTTGACATATTCAGGTCACAAGGCTTCGGCCTATCACTGTGGGATCCTAGGTTGCGGAGCAGTGCTCGCTGTTGACTGATACACGGTATAAGCCAATTTCTTAGGTTGAAGAACAGCGATTGGTGGAGCCTGCCTATGGTGCTTCGCAGGCTATTGTGAGGTTTGTATAGAGAGATACAGGTTCCGGGGCGGCAAATAACGCCTCCCAGAAGCCCGAATGAGGCCTCTTACGTACAGGAGGCAAAGCCGTCAGCGTGGCCGCTCGCTAATCAGGGCGCGGGGCAATGGGACGAGGAAGCGTATGCGTGCGTGCGTGCGTGCGTGCGTGCGTGCGTGCGTGCGTGCGTGCGTGCGTGCGTGCGTGGGCGCGCATGCGCGGCGCGGCGAGGCGCGGCGCGGTTGTCTATAGGTTGGTTGGTTACTTTGCGAACGGGAGGGGCAGTGCGAGCTCCTGCCTCCGGCCTCTGTTCCCCCCCACTCCCCATTCCCCCCTCCCCCGGTCCCAGTCTCTCTCTCGGAAAGATGTCGGACACGGCAGTAGCTGACACTCGGCGCCTTAACTCGAAGCCGCAGGACCTGACCGATGCTTACGGGCCGCCAAGTAACTTCCTGGAGATCGACATCTTTAATCCACAGACTGTGGGCGTGGGCCGCGCGCGCTTCACCACCTATGAGGTTCGCATGCGGGTGAGTCACGGGGTGAGGGAAACAGCTGAGGGAGGACCGGGCAGGGGCAGAGAAGGCGCTCGTAACAGGTCATTTGGAGGTTAGGGGCGTGATAGGTTTGGAGAGAGGTCTGTAGACTCAGTAGTGGCCCAAGGATACAGCAGACTCCTGAGGGGGACTCTGAATGGGGGTGAGGAAGAAGTGAAGGTTGGCTGGATAAGGTGGAGAAAGATTAGAGTGAGGAATTCAAGGAGATCGGAATCATGACTGTAGTGACACAAGGAAGAAGGATGGAAAGCCAAGGTGATAACCTAGCTGGGTCCCATAACTAAACTAGGTTGTGGGAAGTCAGTCTGAAGAGGGAGGGCAGGAAGGCCCGGGTTCTTCCTAATGAGATTTCTCTGGGATGATGGATTAAGAGGAAGATAGACTCCAAGAAAGGAAGGCAGTGGGCTTGTGGGAGTAGAAACGAGAAAGGGAGTCTCCTTGAGACTGAGTGCTTAGAAAAGAAGTGTTTTATGCTTAAGTTTCCTCGGATACTACATGCCGTGTCTCACCGTGAAACTTGGCTTGCATTGAGATTGGTGAATTGTCAGTTGCTGCTCTCATCTTAATGCTGACTGACCCTTTAGATTTGAAGTAGCCAGAATGTTCGCTTGAATGTTTATTGGCTCTCATTTGGGTTCTCTATCTATTAATGACTGTTTGCCCTTTCTGTCCTAGATTAACCTTTTGGATTCAGATCCTGGCCTGTACTGACTTTAATACATGACGTTTCTGGACTGCCCCAGGAGTGGCTTTTCCCAGAGTGCAGTACTGAAGACTTTATTCTCTAGTGCTTAGTCCACAATGCAAGGATGAAGTGTGTGGGTAGAGTACATGGTTTGCAGGTTCTTTTGCCCAATCGAAGTGGTTACAGAGCAAACAGTTTGAGAACCATTTTCTAGTTTTCGTCTCACACTAGAGGGCCAGAATATTTTCTATGGACAACTTTCTGCTCAAACATTGTTGAAGACCTCAGAGTGTGTGTGCTTTCATTTTCGAATGAATACATTGAATGAGAGAGTGTGGTCTTCTACTTGGGCTTTGAAATCTAGTTGAGAAATGATAATTCCCAGATCTCAAGTTTGGCAAGGTCTAAACTGAAGAAAGAAAAATGAATAGCAGAAAATGAGGAAAACTACTTGAAATCGCCTTTGCTGGGGAGGAATGGAAGTTAGGTTTCTCCAAATATGATAAAAACAGGAAACTGTTAGTGGTTAATTACCTGAGTGAATCTGGGCATAACTTGTTCAGTATAAGGACCCTCTCCTGTGGGGGTTGGTGACATCCCCCAAGAGTCTTAGGGATTATGGATGGAATAGTTCTCTACTTCAGGTATTCTAATAAGAGGGACTGTTTAGTTAGTGCCATCTATGTTCCAGGCACTGAGCTAGGTTTTAGTTTCTATCTTAATTCTTACAAAAACCCCCATTTTACAGATAGGAAACTGAGGAGGAGTACAGTTTAAGTAACTTGTCCAAGTATACAGAGCTAATAAGTGGCAGGGCTGGGATTTGAACCTAGGTCCGTCTGACTCCAAAGACCATATTCTTTCCACTACACTGTTAGTCTCTTTGGGGCCCTGGTGGCATAGTGGTTAAGAGCTTGCCTGCTAACCCAAAGGTCGGCAGTTCGAATCCACCAGCTGCTCCTTGGTAACCCAATTGGGCAGTTGTACTCTGTCCTCTAGGGTCGCTATGAGTCGGAGTGGACTCGATGGCAGTGGGTTTTTGGTTTAGTCTCTTTGGCAAGGCTTTGTTGCAAAACTTAGTGTGTAAAATTTTTCATCGGACTGAGCTTTTCATTATCCCTTTCACAACTTTTAATTGTGTAGTGATGATAGAGTTGATGGCAGTTCCTAGTTCTGTGGGGTTTAGTTAATTGTGTGGTTTATGTTAATTTGTATGTTTGTGTAAACCTGTAATATTTTTATTAAACTCCATTTTGGGGAAAATTGGTAAAATCATTTGGTTTTGAATTGCTAATTTTAAGTGGTTGATCATGGTATGCATTATAGGGAGATGAGACTCAGAAAGGGCTTTGGGAGTTAGGCATTGTGTATAGTAGAAGTAGATGGCACTAGCTTTTCTTTTTTTTCCTTCTTTGTATAATAGCTAAATATTTCTCAGGCTGTTTTCTTTCATTTTCAAGAAGGAATCTTTTTTTCCCCCAAAATCGGCAGCTTGAGAGGTGTTAAGTGACCTCACATGATATGCAGAACTTTTCAAATGCCAGTTGTGCTGTGGACTTCAACTTTAACTCTCAAGGATATCCTGTACTGCACAATCCTGCCTTCCTCATATAGTTTGTAGGTTGGAGCTGGGAGACTCTCCTAGTATATAGCAGCCCTTTCTTAGATGGCTAGGTGCTGTGATGAAAGGCCATTATTGTCACCATCCTGTGGTGTTACGGAAAGAATAGCATTTTTGTGTGTCAAAGGAGGAAGTCTTCAAAATGGCAGTGGGTGGTTTTGCCTGTGTCTTGGAAGAATCTACTCAGCATTTTTTTTTCTACTTAGCATTTCTTTTTTTTTCTTTCTTTGGTCCTTCTGTTGGCTTCTGTGAAAGCCCACTAGGTAAGGTTCTACTGTTTGGGGATCACAGTATTTGTAATGAACTCTGGTGGATACCTAGAATCACATGAGACCAAAGGGTTTTTTTCCTTGCAGGATTCTGAAAACGTTCTACATAATGGTTTGTTTTGAATAGTTAATACATGCACACGATATAAAATTCAAAAGGTGCAAAAAGGTATACTTTAAAAACTAAGTCTCCCTCCATCCCTCTGTCCTCCAGAGGGTTCCTTTTCCAAAGAAACCACTGTTTCTGGTTTCTTATTTATTCTTTTAAAGAATAGTTTAAGTAATGAAATGTTATTTTACATGTATGTCATCGCACTTCAACCTGTTGACATTTCTTGGGCCTCGATGATCTTGGATAATGTAAGTTGGCCATTTAGCTGGCTTTTGATGATCTATATCTAGAACTAGATCCTGAAAAGACAATTTCCAGACTCAAGGACTACAAAGCATGATACACAGCAGAGAGAACTGTGTGAAGTTCTATCAGAGCGCCAAGATTTTCTTTCCTACCATTAGAAAGAACAGAAACCAGCTCCTTTTATTTCCATCCACAGATCTGAATTGGCCGGTGGGAAATATGGTCAGTATTAGTACATGTGGCTGGCCATTTCTCTTTAGAACGTGTAGACAGGAGTGAAGATCAGGGCTTTTTGTCTGTCAGGGATTGATGTTGCCACTAGAGCCTTGGAAAGCTTCTCAGTGGTTAACATGTGGGAATAAGCTGATTTGTATCAGGGAGCAAGCTATGGTAAGTTTATGTAATGGCTGTTTCTGCTGCACTTTCTAGATAAGGAGAGGGTAAACAGGTACATAGGACTTCTATTAATCAACTAAATATTTGTTGAGTAATTTGCATATGCTGCATTTTGGGAGATAGAGTAGTCATGGTTCGTGATCTCAATGAGATTTACAGTTTCGTTAGGTAGACAAGACTTACATGATGCATAAAACGATAGTGTGTAACTAAACAATAGTGTGACACTAAATTATAAGTGTCGTAGGCATTCACAGGGGAGGGAACTCAATAAACTAAGCTGGTGTTGTCAGGGAAGAGTTCTTGGATGAAGCGCAACTTGAACTTGGACTTAGAGAAGGGAAAGGATTTGGACAGGAAAAGCAGAGGAAGGCATACCTTGGAGGTGCTTGTCTCTTGTTCTTTCAGAGAAATTAACTTTTTGATTGAACATATACATACACATGATAAATTCAAATAGTACAATGAAAAATGTACTGTTCCATTCCAGTCCATTCTAGTCATCTAGTCTTACTCTCCAAAGTCAATCACTTACCAATATCCTTTCATAAATATTTTATTTATAAATATAATATGCACATATATATATATATATCCCTTTTTTTAGCATAAATAGAAGCAAGCTATATATACTGTTCCATACCTTGATTTTACCACTTAATATCCTTTCATACCGGCACATATAAATATTTCATATACTTTTCACACTTGTATAGTATTCCACTGTACAGGTGTACCATAATTTATTTAGCCAATCCCCATTGGTGACGTTTATTATTACAAAAAATAAAATACAGTGAAAATTCTTGCATGTACATTTTTACATACAACTGCAAATTTATTTGTTGGATAAATTCCAAACAGCAAGAGACTTCTAAATCAACAACTGTGACAAGACTGGATGTGGTAAGGGTTGGTATTCACCCAGTGGTGTTTTGAAAGGGCTATAGGAACATGGTCCTAGGAACTACTTCTTCATTAAGACCTGTCCAGGTGGTTCTGACAAGTGGCCATCATAGGGTGAACGTTACTTACCACCTCTCTTCTCATTCTTCCTTCCCTGTAGACAAACCTACCTATCTTCAAGCTGAAGGAGTCCTGTGTGCGGCGGCGCTACAGTGACTTTGAGTGGCTAAAAAATGAGCTGGAGCGAGATAGTAAGGTATGGCCCATTTCCTGTGTGGCACCCTTGGGCAGCAGCAGGAGGAGATCTGTGCAGGTTGAGAGGGCATAAGAGCAAAGTCTATAAAATCTTGATGGGAATAGATAGGGTGAACCCACTCTTATCTACCAAATCCCAGTATATTGGATCTGGGGGATACCCTTTGAAGCTTGCAAGTGGTAAGTACAGGACAAATAAAAAAAAATTAGTTGACTTAGTGGCTAGTAAAGTCATATAACATAACTCCTATAGGTACTAAAAATTCTAACTATAGTGTCGGGAAGGACCTATCTTAATTCTTGGGTAGTGTTGTTAAGAAAGTGAGGAATGTTTGGAGTTTATTTCCTTTCTTTTGAGATAGTATTGTTGAGGGTAAACCCACAAAAACAGTTGGATTAATGTTTGACCTGAGCCGTCCTGGCAGTTCTTAGGGTCTTAGTTCTTACAAATTGCTGGTTGTGGGACAGGGTAGACCCTACACCTAATAGGAAATGAGATATACGGTGCTTTACTATCTCATTCTCTCTCTGTTCCTCTGTTAATGTGGCTGATATTTTGTGTCTGCCTGTAGATTGTAGTACCACCACTGCCTGGGAAAGCCTTGAAGCGGCAGCTTCCTTTCCGAGGAGACGAAGGGATCTTTGAAGAGTCCTTCATTGAAGAAAGGAGGCAGGGCCTCGAACAGTTTATTAACAAGTAAGCCAAGTTCCTGGGGGTTCCTCATGCTACTTTTACCATCATGGTCTTTCTATAAGTTTTGTTTATCTTGTTTTGTAATGGGTACTATCATGTGGTGGTGATTGTGTTGTGGGCTGACTGGACAGTAAAACTCCATTCCTTTGAGAGGAATTCTGATCCTGTACCTTAAGGCCTGAGAAAGCACTGCACCTTGTCCCTCTATTCCCCTTCTCTGTAATATTAGGGTTGAGGTGGTGCCCTGCTGCTGTCCTCCACTGGCTCAGACCTCAGGACTGACCTTGCCCTTCCTCACTATCTGCACCCCCATCTACCTGCTAATTCTCTCTGATCCCAAATACTAATAATATCCATCTTGGTTTCTTTATAGAATTGCTGGGCACCCACTGGCTCAGAACGAACGCTGCCTACATATGTTCCTGCAGGAGGAGGCAATAGACAGGAACTACGTCCCTGGGAAGGTGCGCCAGTAGGAGCCCCTCTCACGACTTGTTCTCTACCTTCCTGCTGAAATGACATTGGTTTTTACACTAAGCCTTTCTCTCTCTTTGATCTGAATTTGGCTGTCTATCCCCTGGCCTGATAGACTATCTAGCATTGTGCTCCTTGGTACCTGACTACACCCTGGGCACTCTGCTAGGATCCTCTTCTCTGAGGAGAAGTGGGAAACCACAGGCAGATGCCCTTTGCTTGGGGTTGGGGGGTGGTGGGGTGGGGAGGATTGGACTGGAAGGTAATTTCTTGGGCATTTACCCATGCCAGAAGGCTAACATTGGTGGTGGGGGGCGGGGGGTTTGTGCTGGTGAGGCACTTGGATACATACTGATGCTGCGAGTCCAGGGGATTTTTCTTACTCTTAGGTTTAACCAAGAACACTGAGCAGGGAAAAACCCTGCCTTTCCTACCTGCATGTACTTTTTCCTTTTTGGGAAGGTGGTAGAGATCTAAAAGCTCTACTTGTTTTCTCTAGACCTGCTCCCAGTTTTCTTAACAGTTTCTTTTGTTGCTTTCTCTCTCCCTTGTTGCATTTCATGTCAGTAATCTCCCTAGAATCCAAGCAGTCTGTTGTGTGGAGCAAGATGTGTGGGTTTTCTGGGCTCATCATCATTACTGCTGCAGGTCAGAAGAAAGCCATAGGGTAGTAGGGGAGCTCCTGTTGCCCAGCCCCGCTCCCTTTGTGGCTCCCCACTCTGGCTGCTGCTTCTTGCCCACCAACAGGTGAATCAGTATGGACCAGCAGTTCTCTCTCCCCAAGCCCTTGCTACTTTATGGGTTAGCTTTGCAGATTTGGTGGCTTGAGGGGTGGGAGTAACTCACCACTGCCAGGTGATTCCCTGAGGGGTTGGAATAAATCATTTTCAAGGTACCTCCCAGTGGCAAGGAAGGGCATCACCACTCTCTTCCTTTCATTCTCTCTCTCCCCTTACTCCCCTCCCATTTAGTGCTGTCACAGGGCAGAAGCCATGAACAAACCACAATGTCTGACTGCTCCTGAGCAGTTTGAGCTGTTGAATGGAGCTCAGGGCCAAGAGTTGTCACTGCCTCCTTTAGCTTGGTCACAAGGTTATTGAACTGCCTGTACTTGTTTCCTGTGGAGCTCCAGCATTCTCCCCAGAAATTTAGCTAAGGATTGCAGCTGGGTGTGAATTTCCTAAATCTTAGGGTCTGAAACAGCTTCTTGAGGCTAGAAGCTTTCCTGTGCTTCTGTCTGGGAAGTAGTGATTTGTTTTTTGGGACCTGATATCTATCCCAAGTGGTGGGATGGGAGCAAGTTAATTCTGGTATGAGGTCGAAAGTGTGAGCTCTTTGCTTAGATTCCCTATCATGGAAGGATTGGAGTTCTCTGTACAAGGCCTTGGGGAAAATTGATGATTCTGACATGACCCTGATCAGAAGGATTAGGGTTGGATTTCGACATGGGGTTTGGAGCCCACCTAAATGTTGAAGTTCCCTGAGACAGCTCAGCTCTTCAGCTGCTGAGACTGTGCCAGGGGCTGAGCAGCCCCTAGAGAGAGACTCTGCTCCCTTTCCCACCTCGCCAGTGTTGGTGTTGTTGCTGCCTTTTTGGTTTGTATCCTGTTAGACTTTTTTTTTTTTTAAGCTTCCTTCTTTCATTGTGCACAAGTGCTGAGAGTCTGAGCCCCATTTCTGTTGTGTATATATCCTGACTCGGGGCTTTTTTTTTTTCCCAGCAAACTGTTCATTCTTCTGTCAGACAATGTCATATTCAACTTCTGTTCATATTAAACCACTGTGAAGCAAACCTCTGTTTTCCTGACTAAATTGTAAATTTAGTATTTTCTAGTGTCCAGGATATGCTGGGTATTGTGAAGAAATTATACATGGCCACTGTCCTGAGGTATAATAAGTAAGTTCTGCATTTAAATATAAAATATGCAGAGTCCTAGCTGCCTTTAACAATATTTGCCTATCCTTCTTGCAACTGACATTGTCACAGAGGCAGTGCATCTGCTTGTAGGAAGTAGCAGTAGGCTCAGTACCTGTGGTTTGGATCAGATTTAGCAGATCTGGTTTTTAATCTTGTGGGGTTTTGCTGATTTGGGCAGACTGTATTTATAGTATATATATGTATTGCCTGTGTATACATATGTAACGTATACACACACACACGCAGACACGCTTATCTCCCCAACATACCCACACACCACCAACACAGACACAAACATACACAGTATTTTCTTTTAGAGGCTTTTTAATTCAGTTGAGACTTTGGTCTTTGTTTTTGTTTTTTTCCCAAGTAGATCTGAAACAGGCAGAAAGGTGGGTGAGATCTGAGAACTTTTGATGGGTGAATATTTTCATCTGACCAATATGTTCTGAAATAGCCTCCTTACACAATGTGGGTTTGGGGGAAGGTTTGGAATGAGGGAACTAGGAGTCTTGTCATTTAGGAAGTCAAAGCTAGTTTTAATCTTGTAGGTCAACACGGAAAGAAAATATACAAAGTGATATGGTCAAAATATTAGGAAATTAAAGTGACTTAGCAGTGATGTTTGGGTTTAAGTGGAAGAGTGGAGGTTGAATTGGGGAGGTTAAAAGGTTTTGGTAGTTTAGGAATGAGATGACTATAAAGATATCTGAAGGGATAATGGAAGAATAGGTGTTTCTGTGAGATAATAGGAAGGAATAAAGGAAAGGAAAAGTAAAGAGATGGAAAATAATGTCCCACCCTTCATCGGCAACAGAGTTAAGAGAATGAACTGGAGAATGACTACAAAAAGCAGCTATAAAATAAAGTGTTAACAAAATTTTGGACAGATAACATTTAGTTAGCAAGTATTGATTAATAACCTTTTGTGTGCTGAGCCCTATGCTAACAGCTGGGCTGGGGGTGGGTGGTGGTACAAGTAAAATATGATTGTATTCTCTTTCTTCATAGACCTTAGAGTTCAGTTCAAGAGATGTCTATACAGGACAAGACAATGCTAGAGACAAAATAAGAAGTTCAGGCACATCTAGTTAGTTAGGTAAAATCCCTTTCTTTGGAGTCAGATTGGCCATTTTAATACAGTAACTAGATTCTGAAAAACCTTTTACTCAGCACTAAGGAGAAGCATACTTTTATAAGGAATTCATGTTTACACATGTAGCTAGGTGTGTGCTCCTAATTAATCCCCTTTACCAATAGCACAAGGAGCTGTGGTGATGGAACAGTTAAGCACTTGGCTGCTAACTTAAAGGTTGGCAGTTCAGACCCACCCAGTGGCTTCTCGGGAGAAAGACCTGGCGATCTGCTCCCATAAAGATCATAGTCTAGAAAACCCTATGGGGCAGCTCTGCTGTGTCACATGGGGTTGCTACGAGCTGAAATCGACTCGACAGCACCTAACACCACCACCACTAGCACAGAAAGGGTTCAGCCTTACACTGAGGCCTGGGGAACAGAGGCTAGCAAAAAATTTTGAACATAGTAGCTAGACTCAAAAGAAGCCTAAATCTTCACATTCCAAAGATGCCTTACCTACCCTTTTACCCACTCTTTAAGAGCAAGAGTTGAGCTAGTAAAGGTGGGAGAGGTGGGTGATGTTCAGGCTATTGTGGAGTTTTTGTTTGACATGATATCCTTCCTAGGTGAGACACTTCTGTGTTCAAATATATGCTGTAATTAAGTAAAATTATTTTGTGCTGTGGAAATGGAGATCAGCTGCTCATCAAAACGGATATTTCTTCATATACTTGAAGACTGTTGAGTCATCCCTGTTTTCTTTTCTTAGACACAGTAACAGTGCTAATTTTTCCTCACTTGGCTCATTTTTAACCCTTTTATATTTACTATTCTGAAATTTCTCCAAGGCCTTCACATATGCCCTAAGTAGTAAATCTAAAACTGGACACCACTGAAGGTTAGGTGGTGGTTATTCCATTTATACCTCACAGTATTGTGACTAATTTAGCTGGTGGTTCTGTATTACTCCCTTCCCCACCTCCTACCATCCCTCATTCTTTTCTTTTTTACCTTGCTTGTACAAAAAACAATTATTCCCTATTTTAATTTTATTCCCTCCCTCCTGCCCTCTTTCCTCTTCCCATCTCCTCCTCCCTATATATGCTTTTAAAAACAGAAAACTGATTCCTTACAAAACAGACAAACTAGAGGTAATTATCAACATTACAGAAAGGATTCTTTAAATCTTGGCAGGCTTTCTTTAAATAGGTGCTTCCTGTGGTGGTTTTAAGTGTTGGTATATAGATCATCAACTATTTGATGTAGAGAAAAAGGAGAGTTAAGAAAAAAAAAAAAAAACCACCAAACCCATTGCCTTCTAGTCAATTCCGACTCATAGCGACCCTATGGGACAGAGTAGAACTGCCCTAGGGTTTCCAAGGAACGGCTGGTGGATTCGAACTGCCGACCTTTTGATTAGCAGCCGAGCTCTTAAGAGGCACTGCCAATTGGAGATTAGTCAGAGATGAGCATGAAACAGTAGTTCTTAAACAGTAAAATACCATTAAATTTACACAATTTTATTTATGCATTAATTTTAAGTAGATGTTATGTTATACCAATATTTTTTTTTGTCCAAATACAGTCACCTTTTGATCATTTGTGCTAATGGAGGAATATATATTTTTATTTTTTGCATTTTCTAAAATTTAAATGTAGGGGTGTCTAATATGCACAAGACTTTAAAATATTTCATAATATGTCATCAGGCTGAAGACTCAGGAAGATCTGAAAAGAAGTAGGAGTATTAGGCCTGGGATAGAAACCTGCGTTCTGGTCCTGGTTATGCTATTCACTGGCTGTAGGATCTTAGGCAAATTGCTTCATCATTCTCATTCTAGGCCTGTTTGCTTAAATGTAAAATGAAGGGATTTGACTCTGAGGTATCTTAAAGCTCTAATATTTTATGATTTCCCACCCTTGCCAAGGAGTTGAATAAATCTTAAAGGCGATGCTATCAGAAAGGTGAAAGCACAATTTTTCCTGAATATTTCTTGAATACTTTACTATAGTGCAGTTAATTTTCTCTTCCAGAAACGAATGACTCTTCACTTACCCCGATTTAATTTTGTTTGCCTCCGTCCTGTTGTATCAAGTCATGAGTACCCCATTAAAACTTGGTGTTGATTTCGTTTACAGTTGCCCTAATTTTATTCTACGTCTTCTAGCATTTTTAAATGAAATAATCATTCCATACTTGTGTGGAGTTATTCTTATTTAAACTTTTAAATGACAACTTTGTTGATTGTTCTGATTATAAAAATGCCTGTTTTGTTCAGATGTTTTATTGTGGTGATAAAAATTCAAACGTAATTAATGCCAGTTGACAAAATTCAAACAAAACATAAGTGTGTAAAGTAAAAAGTGAAAAATTTCTCTTTATTCCCTCTGTCTGTTCCCACTCTCCAAGAATCTTAATTTGGTGTGTTTCATTCCAGACCCTTTTCTTTGCACAAATATATAAATATATTCACACACGTATATCTACAAGTATGTATACACACACACTTTTTAAAACAAAAGGGGATATATGTACTATTCTACAACTTTTTCACTTCGCAGTGTATTGCGGACTTCCTCTCACGTTAGTACATGGAGATCCACCTCATTTCAAAAAATGGGCACATAATATTTCATAATATGGTTGTATCACAATTTAATGATTTGCCTATTGGTGGAAATTTGTCTCTAATCATTCACTATTATAAATAATGCCACAGTGTGCATTCTCATACATATAACCTTGGTCATGTGTATAAGTATTTCTGTAGGGTAGATTTGGAGAGGAGGCGTTGCTGGGGCAAAGGATGTGTGCATTTCAAATTTTGATAGGTACTGCTAAGTTGCCTTCTAGTGTGAAGTTTTAGGCTCCCACCCAAAGCAAATGAAAATTTTTTCCCTACATCCTCGTCAAAAGTGGCAAACTTTTTTTTTTTTTCTTTTTTGCCTTACCATTAAGTTTTATTCAGTTGTTGCCTGATTATTATTTGGGGGACATTTATATCTTTTTTTTTTTTATTGAACTTCAGGTGAAGGCTTACAGAACAAATAGTTTCTCATGAAACAGTAGTACATATATTGTTTTATGACATTGGTTAACAACCCCACAACATGTCAACCCTCTCCCTTCTCAACCTTTTTTTTTTTTTATGAAAATATACATAGCCAAAGATATACCATTTCAAAAATTTCTACATGCACAGTTCAGTGACATTGACTACACTCTTCCAGTTGTTCTGCTATTCTCACTTTAGATGAAGGCTTACAGAACAAAATATTTTCTCATTTAACAGTTAGTACACATGTTGCCCTATGGCAATGGTTAACACCCTCACAACACATCAACACTATCCTTACTCAACCTTGGGTTCCCTATCACCAGCTTTCCTGTCCCCTTCTGCCTTCTGGCCCTTGTCCCTGGACTAATGTGCTTCGTTAGTCCCATTTGGTTTTAAGGGGCTGTCCACTCCCTGGCTGAACAGTGAACCTCAGAAATGACTTTACCACTGAGATAAAAGGGTGTCTGGGGGCCATACTCTTGGGGTTTCTCCAGTCTCCTTTAGGCCAGTAAATCTGGTCTTTTTTTGTGAGTTAGAATTTTGTTCTACATCCTTCTCCAGCTCTGTCCAGAACCCTCTGTTGTGATCCTGGTCAGAGCAGTCAGTGGTGGTAGCCGGGCACCATCTAGCTGTACTGGACTCAGCCTGGTGGAGGCCTTGGTAGCTGTGGTCCATTAGTCCTTCAGACTAATCTTTTCCTTGTATCCTGTTCTCTTCATTCTCCCTTGCTCCCAAAGGGGTGAGACCAGTGGAGTATCTTAGATGGCTGCTCACAGGCTTTTAAGACCCCAGATGCTACTCACCAAGGTAGAATGTAGAACATTGTCTTTATAAACTGTGTTATGCCAATTGAGCTAGATGTTCCCCGAGACCATGGTCCCCACAGCCCTCCACCCAGCAATTCAGTCCCTCAGGGAGTTTGGATGTGTCTGTGGAGCTTCCGTGACCTTTCCTTGTACAAGTTGTGCTGGTTTCCCCTGTATTGTGTACTGCCTCACCGTTCACCCAAGATACCACTTATCTATTGCCTGTTTAGTATTTCCCCCCACCCCTTATTATTTGGGGGACATTTATATCTTTTTTTTTAGATTTTTTTTATTGTACTTTAGATGAAGGTTTACAGAACAAATAGTTTCTCATTAAACAGTCAGTACACATATTGTTTTATGACATTGGTTAACAACCCCACGACATGTCAACACTCTCCGTTTTTGACCTTGAGGACCTTTTTTTTGGTGAAAATATACATAGCCAAAGTTACACCATTTTGAGTTTCTACATGAACAATTCAGTGACATCGATTACATTCTTCCAGTTGTGCTGCTATTCTCACTATCCTTTTCCAAATTATTCCATCACCATTATCTTCAACTCACTGTCCCCTAGGCTTCCCATCAAACCTTTTGAGTTGGTGTTGTCAATTTGATCTCACATAGATAATTCTTTTTTTTTTTGTACCTTAGATGAAAGTTTGCAGAACACATAGTTTCTCATTAAACAGTTAGTACACATATTGCCCTATGATAATGGTGCCAAACTTTTGATTGATAATTATCCAGACTATTTGGTGAAAATGGTGTTTCATAGTTTTAACTTGCATTTCCCACTACATTTAGTTGTAATGATACCACTATCAGATTTTTAAAAAATCCCCTGCACATTTAATTTTAGTTCTGTAAGCAGTATGTATATATTGCTAATTGAGGATGTCTGCTACTACTCATCTTGACTGAACCACCACTCGGGGCATTTTAGGGAGTTATACCATCTTCTCGGCTTAAAAGCTCTAAATGTTCATAGGCTTCTTCCCGCCTGACTTTGGGGGAAAAAGAAGCGATTAGTCTAGTGACAGAGCAACATTATATGAGGCACTCTCACAATCAGTGCTTTTCTCAGGTTGGTACTACTTGAGGCCAAGCCGAGCAGCACTGACAGGTCAGCTACAGACTCACCTGACCTCAGGGCCAGCCTCCCTTGGAGACTCGGGGAAATACTACTTGGCGTCTTGGGCCACCGTCTCTCTAGTTTGGACCTCCTCTTTAGTTATTTCTCCAAGATCCAAACCTTAGATGCCAGGCAGGGACAGGACAAGGACAGGGACCGAGATCAAGAAGGAGACTGAAATAGGAGGCCGAGTAGCCAGCCCTCGGCTCTTCCGGCTGGCTGGCCATGCATCACTCAGAAGTGAGCTAGCTTTTAATTGGTCGCACTCAGGGAGCGCCTACCTTTCCTGATCTAGGGGCGGGTCATAGGGAGACCTGCTAATTGGCTGGGACGGAAGACCACTGGGAACGCTTTGGCGCTGCTTTTGAAAGCGAGGCCAGCTTCGGGGCGCGTGGAAGAGAGTATCCTCCGAACTCTTGCTGTTGTTTTTGGTAACTGCGCCCTCAGGTTGCCTAGCTGTCCTCCTAACCCCGTCACACTTCCGGCGTCTTCGTGTGTCTCCCGGTGTGCCGCGGGGACTCAGGCAGTACTCTCCATGTCTGGCCCTTAGGAAGGCCCTGCCTGGGTTTCTAGGTCTCCTTCCATCAACGCCGGCTTCGAGCTCACGTAATGAGCTCTTCTCTGATAGGGCCAGTTAGGTCGTGGGTCTGGGGCCCGGGAGCGGGGCCTGAGTTTGCGGGCAGCAGCGGATGCGGCGGGGTTCGCAGCGGAAGCGGGAGAGGCTGTTTTCTGCAGAGGCTAAGGTCTTCTTTGTATTAAGTCTACGGCTTCGCGAACCCGGGGGAGGGGGCAGGAAGTGTCTGACCCAGAAAGCTTCAGCATCCAGGTGCCCACCACTTTTCAGCCAGCCACCGCTCCGTCGCCGGATTTCACCCCTCGTGCCTCCTTTCTAGATTCATCAGCTACAGAAGCACTGAAGCAAATATATTGGCCCTCTCAGCCTGGATTTAAAGCAAGAGTCCCCTTTCTTAGTGGACTAGACCTCATTTTTTATTCTTTTTCCCTAATTAATTTTAATTACACCAATACATTTCGCCTTGTAAAAACAATTAAAATAGTACATATAAAACAAAAAAACCAAACCTGTTGCTCTCGAGTTGATGGGACTAAATTACACTTTGATCATTACCCACAATCCTAATCCTCCTTCCGCTTTCCCAAGGGTAACCATTCTTAGGTTTGGTGTGTATCCTGGTAGCGTTCCAGATCTTTTTTTCTGTTTATTGTAAAAAATACATCGTGTTGTGTTTTTTATCTCTACAAAAACCATATCATACTGTGCATATCCAGCAAGTG